ACTGTCCCATTGCCCCAGATAAAGGGAAGAGCAATGCTGGTAGGGCCGTGTACGCGGGAAAGACAGAGAAGTTTGTATATCAATGTGATGCCAATCCCCTACACCAAATGCACATGATTTCTTTAAAGACTATAATTTATGCAAACTGTTTACAAATAAACTCCTTAAATAATTCACAAAAGCTCATACATGGAGCTGCCCCTGGCAGTTATGTATCACCACAATAACCAGGAGCTGGCAGGTATCACTGGTACTGCCAGGCTAGCTGAGGAGGGGCCAACTTAGCAGCAGCAACAGCCCAGAAACCAAAGGGAAAGAGTGGTCTTGGGGAATGGGCTCTCCACAGCTGTGGGGAGTGACAGGTGTTCCATTTTTCAATGCAGTTATTGTGTGTGTGTGTGTGTGTGTATAATTACACACATCATAGTAAAGAGATGCATCTTTAGGTCTAGTAGCAAATTACAGTTCACCACAAATAACTGGACAACTAGGTACAGTTTGACAAATGTACTGATTTCAATGGTGGGCCAGTCTACCCAATCAGTATGGAAAGCTAATGAGAGGAACTTTGGGATGGGGGAGGAAACCAACCAAAAGTTGCAAGAAAGTAGTAACTGCAAGTTATGGGGGGCGGGGGAGGGGGGAAGGAAAGGAAGTAACTAAAGTCTGGTCTACACTACAGAGTTAGGTGGACACAAGGCAGCTTATGTCGACCTAACTATGGAACTGTCGACACTCAAATTTCAGTCCCGCCGATGTAACTGCCCTGCTACACCAACTTAATAACTCCACCTCCACAAGCAGCATAGAGTCAAGGTCGATGTAGTTAGGTCGATGGAGTGTCAGTGTAAACACTGCATTGCTCACGTCAAATGTTACTGGCTTTCAGGAGCTATCCCACAATGCCCCACACTAACAGTACAATCGATACAAGTTCTCCTGGTGAGGATGTGCACCACTAATGGAAGGAGCGAACTGTAGACATGCACAAGCAATGTAATTACTTGCAGTGGTTCTATGCCGACCGAAGTTAGGTCGACTTAATTTTGTAGTGTAGACATGGCCTAACCAAATAAGAAAAACAGAAGACATGAGAGAGGATCATTCTAAAGTTTAAAAATATTGTATTAGAAAAGGTTATTTACAATATACTTGAAAATTAAAGAAAAACCACATAAAATATATACTTCAGCAGTCTACAGAATATTGCTCTAGGCTACTACTTAGAATTAAGTAGCAACTATATTCCATGTTAACTCCACTGATTGCGATGTTAACCACATGATAATCTGTATTAACACATCAGTATCTTATAATAATGTATTAAATAACTGGTATCAACACGCTGGCTCAGGATTACAAAGGGGAAAATAAGTAAAAACAAATATTTATAAGCTTGTATAAGCTTCTGCTGACTACAGTCAGTCTCAATTGCTTTTGGGATCAATATAAAATACTGACAGACAGTGTCAAGTCAATGTCTGTCGAGACAACGTCAGCACTGTAGATTAATTCTGAGCTCATTATAATTAGGTATAAAGGTCAGAAAAGAGCCAGCCTTAACTCTAAACCTTTTATGAGCCAAATATACATCAGAAGCAGATAAAAGAAAGCAGGTTACAGAGCATATGAGATCTCCTGATTCTATTCAGAAAGCTACAGAGATTACCTTGCTATAAATAAGACAATTCTGAAAAAACAAACATTTTATAATTACTACCTCCAAGTGATTTCTTAAGTAGCAAATAATCCATCATTTCCTTTTTCAGAATAATACAAAAAAATTTCTCAGGTAAAGCCAAATATTTATTAGCAGCAAAGATAATACTAGTTTTTATTGCTAAATAAATAATGTTTACGCATGTCCAGTTAGCTGCCAAACAAATTTTTGTGGTAACTAGGGCATAGAAATGTATCATTAAACTATATAATTTTCTTTTTTAAACAACAGCTTTTAAAAGGGACTCGACTACCACAGCTGGACCACTTGTCTGATGCTGTCCATTAAATGTAACACTAAATGTATGCTGTATGCAGGGCCACCTGGGACAACCCACCCCCTCCGTCCCAGGCCCCGCCCCCTCTCCATCCCTTTCCTCAAGCCCTGCCCCTCCCCCTTTCCGCCCAGCCTCATCCTGCCTCTTCCCACCCCTGTCCCGCCCCCTCCCTGCGCGCATTCCACCCCTTCCCCCAAATCTGCACCCCACCTCTTTCCGGCTTCTGTCCCCTCCCCAGGAGCCAGGGGGCAGAGCGGGATGGGCTGAGGCTGGGTCGCTCACTGCTACTGGTGCTAGGCCCCCTGCTAACCCCCCAGGCCACCCTGGACCCCGCATCCCAAAGCACGGGGCCCAGGGCAGTTGCCCCGGTCTGTCCTATGGACGGGATAGCTCTGGCTGTATGTATGTATATCAAGCTAATTGTTGCTAATTATTACATTCCTTCAGTTCCTCTATAATTTCAAAGTTGCAGAACCTCACACTCCCTGCCAGTCAGAGATACTAAGGCTTAGATCGACAAAAGGACATAGGTGTTGTGATCCTGAGCTTCATGGTACCTAACTTTTAGACATACAGAAAAATCACAGGAACAACACTATGATCCACTAAGCTTAAATTCATAACTCTGCTAGGCACCAAAAATCATGGACTTAATAAAGACACTGAATGTACGGCCCATTACAACAATTTGTAACCCACTATGGTCATCTCTACTCTAGCAGCTGTGTCACTGTAAGATTGCTCATGTAGCCACTCTATGCTGACATCATAAAACCACCTCAATAAGTGGTGGTAGCTATGTCAGTGGGAGAAGCTCTCCCGCTGACAAAGCACTGTGCACACTGCCACTTATGCTAGTAAAATGTATGTCACTCAGGGGTATCTTTTTTCACACCCCCTGAGTGACATAAGTTTTGCCAACCTAAGTGGCAGTGTAGACATGGCCTAGCCCTCCTTTGTCCTATGTAAAGGGGTTAACTGCGCACTTCACCTTGAATGGTCTCTTGCAACGTGTGTTACCTCCTTATCTGTTCCACCTTGTATTTAGCAGTGATACTCTGAGTACCTTTTCCAGACCTGAAGAAGAGCTCTGTGTAAGTTCGAAAGTTTGTCTCTTTCACCAATAGAAGTTGGTCCAATAAAAGATACTACCTCACCTATCTTGTCTCTCTAACATCTTGGGACCAGCCTGGCTAAAACACTTGAAATAAATAAATAAATACATCATGGATTCCATGCCTGGGGAGGGGAGAAGGTTGGGCATCCACTTAGCTGTTACATGATTGCCTCTGAGGACCAAGCTAGACAATTTGGGCTGCAGAGCTGTTTTGGGCTCCATACCACAGACAAAAAGAGTCTGTATTTGGCCTGTAGATACAGATCCTAATCATATTTGTCACCTCTCTTTTCTGAGTCACTTCAGCATTTTGTATCCACTTACAGTACATGACTACAGCAGTCTTTAAAATTAAGGCACAGTATTTTAGTTTTTAGCAATAATCAACAGTTAGTTTTTTATGAATATATTCATGCTAGAAATAAACATACATTTGTCTCTGGGTGGGATAAAACATGCAGAGTGATTCTTTGATTTCTCTCTCACTACAGTGTAAATTAGGAGTAGCTCCACTGAAGTCAATGTAGTTACCCTGGTATAAAACCAGTATTAGTGAATGCTGAATCAGGCCCACAATATCTGATTAGATTCCTAGTCCTTAATAGGGAATGACTAAATAACATATTTGCAGTTAAAATACTTCCGAGTTGTCACATAGCTCCTTAACTTTCTTTCCAATATTCAACAATGACCACAGGCCATCAAGATATGTGCAAGGTATGTGAAAGAAAGCTATAGTTATGAACACACTGCAGCTACATAATATACTGTATTAACATCATTATGACTAGTTGTTTATCGTGGAAGCAAAACAGAAAATTCAAAAGGAAAAAACAAAATAAAAAAGTCACAGGATCACATTTTTGAACAAAATTTCATTTATTTTGAAGTTAAAATAATTAAAACCATCTGTTAATAATTAATGGCTTAAACCCATTGATAAGCTACAAAAAATATAGTTTGAATTTGTTATCTATATATAGTGAACTTGTAAAAGATTCATGAGAGCTTTGCTTTGGTGTAGACGGGCTGGGTTTATAAATTCCACACGCTGTTGTGGAAAAAAACCCCTAAGAGTCACAGTTTTTGTCCCAAAAGCAATGGCCATGACAAACACACCACCATAAACCTGATACATAAAGGTGAAACAGAGAAAGAACCTTACCTGCCTGCGCAGCTGTAATTAGAGCCGTGTTCCCTTCATTGTCCTGCCAGTTTACATCAACATGAGGGCACTGTGCTAAGGCTATTACAATATCCACAAAACCTTGGTAACAGGCAACAATAAGGCCAGTCTATAAATAAAAAATAAGGAGGTAGTTAAGGGTAAGCAGAGCAGACTGATCAATAGTACATTGAGGAAGTATATAATTTGGCTTTTTTTTTTTTTACATGTGAGAAATAACATGACATTTGAGTGTTAACTAGTGGTGAGCTGAAGTTGCAAAGTTTGAAACTGAATTTCCACAAAGTTAGGGTAGTTTGGGTGAGGGATTACACTGAACCTGGACTCCCACAAAACTGTGTGTGTGTGTGTGTGGCTTTCGTTCAGGCTAATTTTCTTAGGGCCAGATTATTCCCTGCTGCTTCCTGGCTGCACAGGGGTTGAAGTGCAGATGAAAGGCACAGCAATGGGCTCCCTAGCAGTCCCTGTGCTTCCTACACTAAAGGGACTGCTCTCTGCATGTGCCCTTTGGATGCCTGACACCCCCAAGGGGCAGGAGGTAGGGTAGGCCATGATTATGTCTCCAAAATACAGAAGGGAAGGGGGGTAAAGGCAGATATGTGGAGACCTCCACATTCCTCTAAATACAGGGGTGTGCCTGAAATGAATGATTGACCCTTTTATTAGGCTTGGGTTTACATTTGTAAATTACTTCCTTTAAAAAAAACCCTAACAGTAAATAATATATATTGAAAAATATTAAATAAGCTCTAACAATTTTAAATATTATGGAAAATTATAACCCATTGAGCCCCATTAACTACCATTTATCCATCAGTGGCAGTAGTAATTTGTTGCAGTTCAGCTAGTGACCATGGTGTTCCAGATTCAGAAATGAGTTTTTACAAAATATTTTAATTCAGAAATTCTACTTCTCACAATAGATTGTGGATAATAGACAAAACAACAACAACATGTAGCTCTAACAGTGTACGAGTCATTATATTATAAATCAATGTGGGATTATGAAGTATAAGAGTATTCATAAGCCACCATACAACTCATTTTTTGGAATGAATGAGTGAAGCACAAAAAAGGCTGATATTAAAATACAGACTAGTATGCTACTAGAACACTAATGTTCTGACAAATTTGGGAAATTCAGATTTAAGGCACCCATGGCATACTGATTTCTGAGCCTTATACATATATTTTGTGGTGGGACACAAGAACTTTCCTTATACTATCACATAGCAATAAGCCAGGCATAATACTGTACTAGTAGGCAAAAATTATTTTACAAATGTGGCTTAATGATATGCAGGTCTAGAAAAATGTTGTATACTAATTATTATAAACTATCAGATTATATTATATATCAAGATGAACACAAGAAGTTCCCAGACCACTGGGTGATTTTGCATTTAGTCATCTGAAAACTAAATATTTGTCCTATGGGTAGTTTTATTTTAAGTTCATAATATCTATAATCAATTTTAAATATTTCAGCTATAACCTAGCAATCCCGCATTCTTAATACTGTAAATAAAATAAATCAATTTTTTTAGGAAAAAACATCACTGTTTAGTATTCTTAATAATAACTAAAAGCTCAATAAAATCTCCAGGAGGAAGAAAAACCAGGAAATGTATCTGACCACCCAATTTAGCCCTGAGCCATTGTTTAATTAAAAAAAAACAAAATAGCTTCCCTAAAATATCAAAATACTCTAGCCATTGATTAAATGGAACCAGAGTACTTAATCCTCAACATCTCACTTGACCATTAGAATTAAAACCATTATCTCATGTTTTCAGGATTACTTGTGTAACCCAGTACATAAGCATCCACAGTGCTCTGAGAAATGTACAAAATAAGGCAGGAACAAGTAAAATAACATCAGTGTTTAGTGAGAGTCCATGGGTTTTCCCAACTGCCTACACATTGTTCTTAAATGCTGACTGTGATCTAAACACATCAACTAACAGCTCAGAAGACAGAGGAAAAGAATAAGGAGACAAAATTAATCCTTTCTACTCTGCTCCCTTTGCCTAGCCAGAACACACAGACATGCAGAATTCGACTTGACCACCAGTTTACAGGGGGAATTAAGAAGCCCATGGGTGAAAGAACTTTAAACCTAATGAAGTGACAAACACAAACCTCCCTGAAATTTTTTCAGTTCAAAATGTCCAAATGACCCGATTTGACTCCGACTTGTTCCCTATTTAATCAGAGAAGTGGTGACTGCTATTAATAGTAGCAGGGTCCTTCATATACTCCAGCCTGTCCACCATGTGCACAAGGCCAAGAGAGAATCCCCTTCTAGCTACCATTGTGGCTACAACCCCTTAGTCACATTTAAAGCAGAGTAATGGGGAGGAGTAAGCACATCAGAATCTGACCCTTAGGTTTTTTTCTTTCGTTGGGAAAATTAAAACAGCAGCAAGGGCACAACATGATGTGGGAAAGATGTTTATTGAATCGATATGAAACACCAAAGTTACACATTTCTTGTAGCCATGGGATCAATAAGCTTGTAAAGGAAAGACCTCGGCAGAAACCATCTCTAATCTTTTTTGTTTAGGAAAATATTGGACCAGATGTCTAGCTGGTGTAAATTGGCATAGCTCCACTGAAATTAATAAAGCTATGCCAATTTACATCAGTTTAAGATCTAACCCACTGAATGCACCAAGGGAGAAGAAGCTGTGATTCACACGTGTGTCTTTGAGTCACAATGCCTCTCCAGGCTACTCCTGAGGTTATGCGCTTTACACACCACTCCTTGCTCAGGGACGTGCCTAAATTGACAATAAAGCCATTAGCAAATACAGAAGACAGTAGATCACTTCTGGACTTAGTTTATTCAGCCTACTCCTACCACAGTACCACTACTGTTAATAATCCCATCCTAGCCAATCCCACCACCTTTCTAAATTACTCTTACCCCAGCCCTCTAGTCTGCGCAACTGATGTACTACTGACACAGATGCCACTGGGCAATGAGCGTCCTCTGCCAAGCTATTCTGTCATTACAATCAGATTGCTATTAGTCAATACATTAATGTTACACAGTTATCTCAATTTCCTCTTCCATTTAAATTCCGGTTGTCCTTTTAGTTCAGGCGACAAACAGCTTCCTTAAGATACAGACACAATGCCATCTTTTTGGTCATTTGGACCACAATATTTCTCAATTGCACCTTTGAATAAGACTATTATTCTGATTTCTTTTTTACACAATTCACCTCACACCCAATATTTAACAAAGCTCAGCACTCCTTGATAAAGAGCATTTCAATTTCCTTCCATTAACATGCAATACTTCAAAAGATTCCTTTGAAACTGGATAGGGGATCTTGTTAAGTGAAAGCATCCTTATTTGCATACAACTTCAAGTAACACTATCAGAAGACATTCATTTTCCAGGTGGGACTGTCTCTGCTAATTGAAATCTTACTGCAATTTAATCATTCTGACCCCCTGCAGGTTTGTGCATTCCCTTTGCCTAAATGGTTGGTCCTGAGACATAATTCAACTCCTTTTGGTCACACCCTTAACATTACTCTATTTCTTTAATAATTTCACTTCCTGTTGAATGCTCAGGACTTAAATCGCCTCAGCTTTAAAAGTCTGCAGATGAAAAACATAGTCTGATCATATGGAAAAAGTAAAATATTAATCCTATCAGCAAAATAAGAGTACAAAAGTTATAGGAATATAGGTTTCAGAGTAGCAGCCATGTTAGTCTGTATCCGCAAAAAGAACAGGAGTACTTGTGGCACCTTAGAGACTAACACATGTATTTGAGCATAAGCTTTCGTGGGCTACAGCCCACTTCATCAGATGCATAGAATGGAACATATAGTAAGAAGATATATATATTTTTCATGTTCTCTGTATGTGTATATATATATATATATATATATATATATATACATACAGAGAACATGAAAAAGTGGGAGTAGCCATATCAACTGTAAGAGGCTAATTAGTTTATTCAGCCTACTAGTTTATTCCAGGCTTATATCATAGAATGATATAAGCCTGGAATAGTAGAAAATGGACAGCACTGACAAAACATCTGTGAATGTTGCTTAGCAAATTTTTTTGTTGTAAAACCTTCACATCATGTGTAAAATAGACACCATTTTCATCTGTCACTAATCCTGCAATACAATGAACTTACTACACAAACACCCATTAGTACTTTGCTGCCACAAGTAGTGTAAGGTAACTCCCTTCTCTTCATGTGCCAATATGTATTTATGATTGTATCTGTAATTTTCACTCCATACATCTGAAGAAGTGTGTTTTTTACCCATGAAAGCTTATGCCCAAATAAATCTGTTAGTCTTTAAGGTGCCACTGGACTCCTCGTTGTTTTTATAAATAGGAAATGTTATTTGTGCATCAGGTCATTATAGAAAATAAAGAGATTGCTGGAAATATCACAAGGTGAACAGCAGAGAAAATCACAAATACCATAAAATGATTTTAGCTTAATTAAATTATCTTCGGACAACACATTTTCCTCCAGGAAGGTAAGAATGAAAACATCTTACTCTAACCTTTCTCCCACTTGCCTGGAACAAGTAATGTGTGTGACAGGAGAATAAAATATCATTCGATTGTTATGAGCATCTTGGTAAAGAATTGACAAATAAATTTCGGGTGGGTTCCATAAAGATACTTAGGCACCTAAGTCCCATTTTTAGGCTCCACTGCAATCCACAAAACTCCCTCTTGGCTGCCACCTAAACCTGAAGACCCTAAATTCACTTGGTGCCTAAGTTTTTGTAGTAAAAGTTCCTGAAGTGCCTGTTTCTGCCTCAGAGCATGCACACTGCTGTGCCACTCTAGGCTCAGATGCCTATCTCCTGCCTGAGTCCCAGACAGATTCACAAATCAGGGAAAAGATAGGCAGCTGAATGCCTAAGTTGCAGGTGGGGCCTGATCTGGTAAGCACGCTCAGAAGCAGCCTAACGCCATACAAAACCATCATGGGCAAACTCCTTCATAACCTGTAGCTTAGTGGTTAGGATATACTCCTATGATGTAGGAGATCCCTAATTCAAATGTCCCATCCTCCCCCCCTCCACTTGCTGAGGGGAAGGAATCTGAACA